CCGGGAAAACGCCGAGACCACCCCCAAAAATCCCCAATTTCGGGGCTGGGGAGGAGGGGTCTCCCCCCGAAATCCGGCAAAACGCCGAGACCACCCCCAAAAATCCCCAATTTCGGGGCTGGGGAGGAGGGGTCTCCCCCTGAAATCCGGGAAAACGCCGAGACCACCCCCAAAAATCCCCAATTTCGGGGCTGGGGAGGAGGGGTCTGCACCCGAAATTCGGCAAAACGCCGAGACCACCCCCAAAAATCCCCAATTTCGGGGCTGGGGAGGAGGGGTCTGCACCCATTTCCGCCTCCGATCACGGGTTTGGCAGGAATTCAGCTCGGTCCGCCCCCAAAATTTGGGATTTGGGGGATGGAAAATGGATTTTACCCCCAAAATTTGGGATTTCGGGGATGGAAAATGAATTTTTCAGCCCAAAATTTGGGATTTCAGGGAGGGAAAATGAGATTTATCCACAAAATTTGGGATTTCAGGGATGGAAAATGAATTTTTCAGCCCAAAATTTGGGATTTGAGGGATGGAAAAGGAGATTTATCCACAAAATTGGGGATTTCAGGGATGGAAATTGAATTTTACCCCCAAAATTTGGGATTTCAGGGCTGGAAAATGAAATTTATCCACAAAATTGGGGATTTCAGGGAGGGAAAATGAATTTTTCAGCCCAAAATTTGGGATTTCAGGGATGGAAAATGAGATTTATCCACAAAATTTGTGATTTCGGGGATGGAAAATGAATTTTTCAGCCCAAAATTTGGGATTTCAGGGATGGAAAATGAATTTTTCAGCACAAAATTTGGGATTTCAGGGGTGGAAAATGAGATTTATCCCCAAAATTTGGGATTTGAGGGAGGGAAAATGAGATTTATCCACAAAATTTGGGATTTGAGGGAGGGAAAATGAGATTTATCCCCAAAATTTGGGATTTCGGGGAGGGAAAATGAATTTTTCAGCACAAAATTTGGGATTTCGGGGATGGAAAATGAGATTTATCCACAAAATTTGGGATTTGAGGGAGGAAAAATGAGATTTATCCCCAAAATTTGGGATTTGAGGGATGGGAAATGAATTTTTCAGCCCAAAATTTGGGATTTCGGGGATGGAAAATGAGATTTATCCACAAAATTTGGGATTTCAGGGATGGAAAATGAGATTTATCCACAAAATTTGGGATTTCGGGGATGGAAAATGAGATTTATCCACAAAATTTGGGATTTCAGGGAGGGAAAATGAGATTTATCCCCAAAATTTGGGATTTCGGGGGTGGAAAATCAATTTTCCTCCCCAAAATTTGGGATTTCGGGGATGGAAAATGAATTTTTTAGCACAAAATTTGGGATTTCAGGGATGGAAATTGAATTTTACCCCCAAAATTTGGGATTTCGGGGCTGGAAAATCAATTTTCCTCCCCAAAATTTGGGATTTCAGGGATGGAAAATGAATTTTCCTCCCCAAAATTTTGGCTTTCAGGGCTGGAAAATGAATTTTTCAGCCCAAAAAATTTGGGATTTGAGGTCGTTAACGAATCCTCGTTAGGGCGGGAATTAATTCGCCAAAATTTGGGATTTGAGGTCGTTAACGAATCCTCGTTAGGGCGGGAATTAATTCGCCAAAATTCCCGTTAAAAATGAAAATTCCAGAGGGAATAAAAAACCCATCCAGGCGTTCCCCAGGGCTCGTTAGTGGGGGTTAATTAACATCATTTGCATAATTAACATAATTAACGAGGCGCCCGCTTGTCCGGGAGGGAGAGAGAGGGGGAAAAAAAGGGGGGAAAAGAGGAAAAAATGAGGAAAACGACCCAAAATCCACCAGGAGAGGCCAAAAATTTGGGGAAAAAACAGGGAAAGAGGTGAAAAAATGAGGAAAAATCACCCAGAAATGAGAAAAATGAGGAAAAAAAATATTGGAAGCTTGGGGAAAATGAAAAAAAATCTGGGAAATTGAGGAAAATTTGGGGAAAATGAGGAAAATTTGGGGGGAATGAGGAAAATTTGGGAAAATGAGGAAAATTTGGGAAAATGAGGAAAATTTGGGGGAAAATGAGGAAAATTTGGGGGAAATGAGCAAAATTTGGGGGAAAATGAAGAAAATTTGGGGGAAAATGAGGAAAATTTGGTGGAAAATGAGCAAAATTTGGGGGGAAATGAGGAAAATTTGGGGGAAAATGAGGAAAATTTGGGGGAAAATGAGGAAAATTTGGTGGAAAATGAGGAAAATTTGGGGGAAAATGATCAAAATTTGAAAGAAATGAGCAAAATTTGGGGGAAAATGAGCAATATTTGAAGGAAATGAGCAAAATTTGAAGGAAATTAGCAAAATTTGGGTGAAAATGATCAAAATTTGGTGGAAAATGAGCAAAATTTGGGGGAAAATGAGCAAAATTTGAAGGAAATGAGCAAAATTTGGGGGAAATGAGCAAAATTTGGGGGGAAATGAGGAAAATTTGGGGAAAATGAGAAAAATTTGGGGGAAAATGAGCAAAACTTGGTCAAAATGAACAAAATTTGGGAGAAAATGAGCAAAATTTGGGGGGAAATGAGCAAAATTTTAAGGAAATGAGCAAAATTTGAAGGAAATGAACAAACTTTGGTGAAAAACGAGCAAAATCTGGGGGAAAAAGATCACTAATAATTCAATAAAACTACAAAAAACGATGAAAAGAGCAGCAATGAAGGATTTTTTTGGGTGGTGCCTCCTCCCATCCCTGTCACTCACCTCATCCCAGCCCATTCCCGCTTTTTCCCCTCCCTCTGGAATATTTTTGCCGTTGTTTTTTCGGATGTTTTCTGTCGCATTTCGCTCCCGGGGGAGGCCCGAGCTCGGAATTCTCCTCATTCCTTGCCCTTATTGGGTTCAGGGCCGGGATATTTTTACTTTTTATATTTTTTTGGGGGGAAAACGCGGTGAATTTCAGGTGGGATTTGATAAATTGAGTTTTGTGAGGTTGTTTTTTTATTTTTTGGGGATGATCCGCAGGTGGCTCAGGGCGTTGTCGCATTCCAGGGGGGATGAGCAGGCAAAGCCTCGCCCGGGGTGTGGCAACACCCCCGAATATTCCCAAAAAAACGAGAATTTGGGGAGATTTTCCAGGTTAAAACAACCCCTTCAAACCCAACTTGAACAGATTCCCGGATTTCTTCCCCCAAAAAATCGCTCCTAAACCCAAAATCCTGAGATTTTTGAGGCAGGACACGGCAGGAGCTGGAAAACTCTTCCAGAAAAGTGGGAAAAATCAGCAGAAACAAGGAGCAGAGGGAGGAATTATCCCTGCAGGAGATGGTCAGGGGCTCCTGATGGATCCAGGATGGAACCTCGAGGATTTTTGGGAGTTTTGAGTCCCAGGACAGGAGGTTTTGGGAGGAAAAACACCTGTTCAGGGTAAAAAAATTCATGTGGAGGGAGGAGGAGGAAGAAATTCCCGGATTTTTCCCCCAAAAAATCGCTCCTAAACCCAAAATCCTGAGATTTTTGAGGCAGGACACGGCAGGAGCTGGAAAACTCTTCCAGAAAAGTGGGAAAAATGGGGAAACATCAGCAGAAACAAGGAGCAGAGGGAGGAATTATCCCTGCAGGAGATGGTCAGGGGCTCCTGATGGATCCAGGAGCCTCCCTCTGAGCCACCCGCGATTCCCAAATTCCCAGAAAAATGACGGCAAGGACCGATTTCCTAAAGGCCGCTCAT